GGCGACAAGGTCAGCTGGTGTCCGATTGCTAGAAGTCTGCCTCACTGGGAGGCATTCTTCCAGATTGTGAGTAATCTCCTTGTAAATCCAGAAATGTAATCACTTATGGAAGCTAAATTCACTAGAGATCGAAATATAGAAAGCAGAATAACAACTGGCTCATTAGCAATAAGAAATATCCTCATCATTCAGGGAGCTTGGGCAGTCTGGCTGGCTCCTCTTCACTGAAGGGAAGACTCACGGGAGTGCCTGAGAGTTGCTTAGCTCGTGAAGTCAGCCAAGTGGTCCATCTGCCTGTCAGCCAATTAGAGCTCAGTGTCCCTGAGGAAACTGCTTGGCATAGGCACCAATGTGTGAACGTTTCCTATGACTGTGAAGACACAGACTTTGAACTCTAACAGATCTGTGTTAAAATCTTGGAGCAACCACTTAACATCTATGTGTGTGTCAACAAGTCTTTACCTTCCCTAAGCCCAAGTTTCTTCACTTGAAAAATGAGACATCTTAAAGTTGTATGAAAAGTGAACATGAGGTGCTTGGCCAAATGGCTGGTATATAATAAGGGTTTAATAAAAGTTTGACACCTAAGGATAATGCTACATGCCTTTGAATCATTATATGAATTGATTTAACATTTGTCCCTCTGAGGACAATTTTGTTTTCCTTTCCCTAGCTTTAATCACTCACTCATTCATACATTTACATACAACAACACTTTATTGAATACTTATTTTGTGCCAGACACTGTCCTATGTGCTAAGGATACTGCTGTAAGCAGAATAAATAGAGTCTTTATCCTTATAGAGTTTAGTGGTGAAAGACAGACAACTAACACATAAATAATATATAGTATGTCAATGTGTACATTTAATGTTGTAATATTTTATTTTTCCCATAACTGTTACTTTAATCAATGGTCAATTCAATAAGCAATGATATCTTAGAAGAAAATGTCATATATTCATTTTCATTAATCCATCATAATATTTCTGGGTACAAATCATCATGAAAAACAATTATGAAGTCTCTCATTTTTTAACTGAACTAAGCATTAAGCAACTATTAGCCATTTTAATCCTCTCAACAGCCTTCTGAGATAGACTATCTCACAAGATATCATGAGATTATAACCCATGTTACAAAGCAGGAGATAGCTGAGAAGGTTTCACAGATTGTGGCGGAGATTTTCTGGGTTTGGTTTTAATTTGTTCTTTGGCTGACCTGCAGCCAAATGTCTCCCACAGAGGAAATTGGTGGTCTCTGTGGAATGTCTCCTACCTCCTAGAATGGAGGCCAGGTTTGGAGGTCCTTCTGCTTTTTGCCTCTGGACATCCAGTGAGGGCACCTGACACAGACTCAACCAATAGACTTTCCCACTGAAAAGCTGAGGGAGTGAAACAAAGAAGATTAAAAACAACAGCCTAGTTGCAATGGCCTGGACTGTCCAGCTGCAATATTATCCAGTGGTTAATGTAATGGTGGGGCATTGTAACCAACCCCACCATTCTTTTGACTTTGTTTCTGTAAATTCCTTACAGTTGTTGACATGGTTGTTCATTTTTTTAGGTTGGAATGATTTGGACTTAAATTTGATACAAGAAAAATAGGAAGAAAGCAGACTTTGCTCCCCTGTGAAGAAAAAAATATAAGGAAAAGGAAACACCTAGTGATAAATTACCAGCTTGAGTTTGTCATTGCTTTTGGAAAAGTTCCAGATGTTGCTTAGCACTGACCTTGAGCTACAATTTATTCACACTAATGTTTAAGTGACTTATGAGCATAAATTGTTATTACTCTTCAGTTTTTGCACTTAACCACTGGAGTGTCATACTTGGGAATATTGGGATTGATTACATTCATGATTTAGAAGAGTAGATACTGGAAACTAACAGGAATATCTATTTCACACATCATAGACAATTATTTACATCAGTATGCTTCTAAAAGTAGAATTTAGCATACTCTTTAGAATTCTAGAGGTGAGGATGTCTTCTCTCTATTGTGTTTCTTATTGTCGTTCCATTCACTCAAATGCCACCTTTCCTGTCTGCTTTGCACTGGGGTTATTACCATGAGCTGGAACAATGGTTTGGGGAGAAAACAAAGGAACAAGATGACCACAGAGGGGGAAGTTTCAAGGGTTCAGTCCTTCTTCAATTTTGGCAGCCTCTATAAATGTATATTTAGCACTGCAGAGGACAGGAAAGCATATAAATGCAAATTCTGAAAGATCATTGTAACATTCTTTTTCTCTCCTTAGACCAAAAAGTGACCATGAGGATGTGTTTGTACATTTATTCAGTCATTTATAAAACAGACTTGAGTGAGACTTTTGTTTCAGTTTTCAAGAAGCTTACAATTTAGTGAATAGAAAGAGTCTACTAAATCTCTGGGGTTTTTTCTTTTTTTTCCCCTGAGAGTCATGTGTTTGTGTCTCAGAGTGTGTGACAGAGATGATGTTCACATGTGCAACGAACTCTTGTTGAGTAACTGGGGTTACTCCCTAGGCCCTGTACATCAGCTGTAATGCCACATTTTCTCTCTCACACAGGAAAGAATACCAGAATGCGACAGTGAGAGTGAGAGAGAGACAGAGAGAGAGAAATCACCAGAGGAATAACCTTGAATCTAGTCTAAAGGTGAAGGTCATTCACATACTTTTGTTAGCAGCAAAAAACAGCAGCAGGTATTAATCTTGGTTCAGCAACTTCAGTTCTTCAGTTCTGGCTGAGAATTCAGAGATAAGACTCAAACTATAAGAGAAGGTTTATTTAGAAAGTCACAGAGTAGAAGAAGTGGGCCATAGAAGAAACGGGCTCAGGAAACAGGTAACAACAAAAGAAGGACTCTGGAGTTTAGGGGAGAGAGATATGCACCCTGAGAGATGACAGAGGGAGAAGAGGTTCAGGCATGCTCCAGAGTGAGCCCTAGGAAAGGAAGGGGGTGGGAAAAGGCACGATTGTGCTGCCTAGAGAGAGCTGCACTGGGTCCTCCATTCTGAGGGCTTTTATCTGAGGCCTTAGAGGAGAATCTCAATAGAACATTCATAAAGCTTTCCAGGTATGCCTCCTCATGGTCTTCAGTGATTGGTCGGGGTCAGAGGGTCATTCGTCAATGCAGCTGGTCCACCCTGATGTCAGCAATGGTGTCATTTTGTCTGATTTTGCTGCTTCCCTGGGCCTGGACCTGAAACACAGCTGAAGCCTAGATGTCATCTTTGAGAGCTTAATGTTTAAGGGAGCGGTCATGCAAGGGCTTACCATTCCGCCTGTTGGTCATCACCTGGGGCTCTCGACCCTGTTAGCCTTCTGCACCTAGCCCATCATTCCTGCTCTGCTCATGCCTGTCTTACTGCCTACTACACTTTCATGGCTTAACAAGTATTAATAATAAATGATTTGCAACAGATTTCACAACAACTTTCAAATACCAGGTATACCACCACTAAAAAAATATACTGCTCTGGATGGCAAGGGCAATATTGAATACTTTCTGTGACTGGAATGTTCTTGGCACTTTGTATACAATTTTTCATTTCATCCCAGACCCCACAATCTTATTTACTCAACTAATCCAGTGGTTTTCCAACTTTAGCATGTATCAGAATTGCCTGGAGGGCTTGTTAAAACAGAGACTGCTGGGCCCAGTTCCCAGAGTTTCTGATTCGTTAAGTCTGGGTGGAGACTGCAAATTTGCATTTCGAACAAGTTCCCAGGAAACAGTGATGCTGCTGGTCCAGAAACCACACTTTGAGAATCATTGACGGCGTCATCCTTTCTTCTATTCAAAAAATATTTATTAAAAACCTACCAGGTGCCTGGCACCAAAGTAAAGAGATAAATTGAACATTATTTTATAAGAGCTAATGTCTACTGAGCACTCTGCTAAAGGCTTTGCTATGACCTCATTTACTACTTTATGACATTTCTACAAAGTAGGCATTTTTCCCCTACTGTACAGAGGAGAATAGCACAACTGTAAGAGATTAAGTAACCTGCTCAACGTCATATGAACAGGGTTCTGAACTAGGATTTGAACACATGCCTATTGAATGCCAGCAGACACCATGCTATACGCTGTGCTACCCCTGTAACACTGAGAAGTTTTCACATTGTATTCTTGTCGGTGTTTTGCAGATTAAAAACAAATAATAAAAAAACAAAGCTGATGTTCAGAGAAGTTAAATTATTTGCCCAAAGCTACACAACCCAGAAATACCTTAAACAAAATGTAATGTCAGTTTATCTGATACCAAATTGCTTTTTCCACCGTAACACTCAAGATCAAGATCAGTCTTAATCACAACCGGGAAAAAGAATATGATCCCCAGTTAACTAGAACGAGCAGGAAATACGTAGTTCTGTCTAATGTCTTGATTATCTAAGATATATCTTTTGTGTTAACTTTCTAACAGTTTTCAGTTCACTTTCCACCCTAAGTCAGCACAGTATAAAATAATGTTTCTCTGATGATTCGGTATCATCATACCCCACAACCATCATTATGAAAAGCATTTGTTACTGAGAAATATCGAAGTGGGCGCAGAAGACACAGACGATTGGATTGAGTGTGCAGGGAGTCCAGAATTACTGAGAACAAATTAAATTGTATTCTAATCATTTACCTTTCCTATACTCTGAATAGAAAAAGGCTCCCAAACTGAGACTAATCAAATAATTCAGTTTAGATGGGTTTTAATTGATCAAGTTTACCCCAATTTTTGTAAGTGGCTGACAAAATTCATTAAAAGTGACTGCTTATCTCCTTTTATGACTTGGTAAAGTGCAAAGAATGAAGCTTTCCCTGACTCCTGTGTACTGTTGTGTTACCCCATCATCAGGGAGAGAAATGAACTGTATAATTACCTTTTGAGACATGAATCATCCTTGCTCTGAGGGTCCAGACCTGTTTGACTCTATAAAAGCAGCTCAAGGTCGAAGTGCAAATGTGCACTGTCTGCCGTCCGGAGGTTGATATAATTACCAAGCTACCCTGAGGAGATGAAGGTGCTCCCTGCATCTGGCCTCGTGCTCCTCCTCATCATGGCTTTGAACTTGTCCACCGCAGCCCCCTCTCTATTTGCAGCCACCCCCAGGACCTCAAGGAACAACTACCACCTCGCACAGGTTTGTGAATCTTTGCAGAATTCCCTCTTCCTTCTCCCACCCTGGAACACTAACAGGGTGTAATGAGAAAATAAGGAAAAAAAAATTGCTGTTGTTTTAAAATCATCTTGTAAGTCCATTGAAGTCTAATAGATACTATCTCCTGTGCAACTAAGACTGATGTCTGGTGCACATTAGGTGTACAAGTTGCATGACTAAATAAATAAATGAATAATTGTTTACCTAGGTATTTTGCTCTTATAGAACTTGAGGTGGCTTGCAAAAAATACATGCAATACAAAAAGACCAAAGAAGTATTTGATGAATAATGTAAGAGAAAAATAAAGGCAGAAAAATAAAAATTGAGGTGTAAGATTCGCAGATAGTGCTAAGCTTCCTAACAGTGCGCTTGTACTGCAGGAAAACTTGGTCAAAATCTAAAGTGAACCAAATTTTTCCAGGGTGCCTATCTGCTTCTGGTTTAAGAGTCTTTCCTCTGTAAAGCATATACCTCAAGTACATTATTTACTTACACTTTCTATATTTCTATTTGAAAAGTCCTTCCCAGCTGACTGTTAGAAGGGATCTAATACAAATAATTCATATTAGAATTTTTGCAAAGACTACGTGTGACTCAAAGAGATTCAATGTACATGTATTTGCTTCTAAGCATTTTTTGTGTTTAATAATAAGGTGGAGATCTTTAACCTAAAGAAACAAGTCTCTAATGATGGAACTTCCAGCATTAGTGAAAGGTGTGTGGATAAGATGTTTTTGCACCAGGGCCTCTCATTTAGGAGTCTGTCAAAGTGATAGCACACCTGTGATTACCACCTCTGCCTCCGCGACGTTTTCTTACCTGCCAGGCTACACCTGTGCACTGCTTCTGTGGTTGCACTGCAGAGCTGATTTTCACCTATATAAACATCAGCTTGTGCCTACTGACTGTTAACACCACTTGTTTACGCAACTTTCATTTTGCAGGATGACACCCAACTAACTGGGCCACACTGTCCATTCTAATTGGTCAGTCCCCTTGCCACACCAGTCATTAAACATTTTGAATATCAATCAGCCCTGCACATAATCAGTACAGTGAACGCCAAGTACAGGCCTCTTAAAGAAAACTTCCTTCAACTTGATCCCACTTTTAAATGAATTAAATTCAAAATAGCATATCTCAAATACTGGGGTCTATTTTAGATTGTGTTTCAAATCGTGTACCTAGCTTTGGGTCCCTTTCCCCCAATGTAGTTTTCCCTCACCCAGCCTCACGCCTCTATAGTTCAGAAACTACAGAGACTGGGTGATCTCCAGAAGGAGGATCATGCTGTGACCGATCTGAGGTGGATGAAAAGCATGATTCTGGTACAGGTTCAGACAAACTATGGTCATCAGCAATACCAGCCAAGGATATTTACTTACATATCATCTATCACTGCTTTTGTATTAAAATGGAGTATGCAGAACCAAAAATATTAACTTTCAGCCCTTTACAGAAAAAATTAGCTGAACCCTAGCTGGCTACACAGGAATAAAGCTAGAAAGTTTTGGGAAAACCAATCCTTGCTAGGAGCATTTGGAAAGAATTAGGCAGCCGTGGAATGTTGGGGAATCTTTAGTGATCCCTTACTGCCTTTTCTCCAATATAAGCCAGCTCTCGTCAGTTTTCCTTATGGCATACCCTCAGAAAGACATTCGACTAAGGACCTAGGAACTTGTCAGTACCTTGCCACCTGGCAAACAGCACCTTCTCCTGCCTTCAACAGCCCCAGTCATCAGCTCTGGATGAAAACAGGTACCACTCTTCCGTAGACTTGAATGATATGGTCAAACCTCTAATGTGGGTCCCAGTGACTAAAAAAAAATAATTTCCCACCTTATCGTTTATTGAAGAACTTTGGTAGCCTTCAAATACAACAAATAAAGCAACATGAAAATAGGCAGTTTAAGTTCATTCATTCAACAATTATTTACTCGCTGCTTACTTTGTGCTATGTGCCAGCATTGGCTCTAAGTTTGGGATAAAAGTCAGTGAGCAAAACAAGTAATGTCCCTGTGCTTGTGGTGCTTACTTGGGGATGACAGAAGGGGTGGGGAGGGGCTGGGAGGAGATAAGCAACTAGCCACTCAGAAAGTGTCCAAGATTATTTCAGAAAGTAATAAGTGATACTGGAAAAAAAAAAATCAGGTTGATAGACACTGAGTGGGTCAGTGTGGGACATTTTCACTGGGTAGTCCAGGAAGGCTTCTCTGAGGAACTGACATTTGAGATGAACCTGAACTACAAGAAACAGCCAGTCACATGAAGATCTGGAGACAGAGCAGTCAAGGCAGGGGAAACAGCCAGTGAAGCAGCTTGGAGCTGGGAGGTGGGGCGGGAGGGAGTGAAGGAGCATCAGACTAGTGTGGCAAGAGCTGAGAGAACACAGGAAGCGGGTGCAGGATGAGTCCCGGAGACAGACAAGGCCAGCAGATCACCTGGGGCCTGGGAGCCTGTGTCAGGATAGGCAGCTTTCCGCACTGCTCATTTCTTTCTAAATCACTCACTGAGAGAACAAATGGTTTCCTGTGCCCGGAAACTAAGACAAGCAACATTTCCAAACAACATATGCTTCTTCTCAAATCCACAAACAGAATAATCTACACTTGAAAAGATGAACTAGGTTTTAGTTGATCTATTTAATGTCCACTTATACCATTTAAATTCTGATTTGCTGATGAACATGAAGGCTTCAAAAATAATGGATGATAAGATGCTTAATTAATTTTAATCAGGGTTTTATTCTAGTTTTTGTTTCGTTTTTTAAAAATTAGTGATATCAATACAACATTTAAAGCAGGTTGTTAAATTGTCCTTAATAATACAAATTGCCCTGGCCGAGTGTCTCAGTTGGTTGGAGCATCCTCATGTACACCAAATGGTTGCGAGTTTGATTGCCAGTCAGGACACTTACCTAGGTTGCAGGTTCAAACCCCAGTTGGGGCACATACAGGAAGCAACCGATAAGTGTCTCTCTCACATCGATGTTTCTGTGTCTCTCCTCCCCATCCTGCCACCCTGCTTCCTCTCTCTCTAAAGTAAATAAACATATCCTCAGGTGAGGATTAAAAATAATAACATAAATGTTTATTATCACATTATTATGAACTCATAATTAAAGAGAAAAATAAAAATAAAAACCTTCAAAATACAAATTGTTAAATTCAGAGGGGTTTTTAAAAAAAAATATTTTATTTATTTATAGAGAGAGAGAGGAAAGAAGGGAGAAAAAGAGGGAGAAAAACATTGATGTAAGAGAGACACATCAATCAGTTCCCTGACAGGGGACCAAACCTGCAACTCAGGTATGTGCCTTGATTGGAAATGGAACCAGCGACCTTTCATTTTGCAGAATGACACCCAACCATCTGAGCCACAATGGCCAGGGCAAATTCAGGTGTCTTTGCTACCATTTTAATTTCTATGCATGAAGATATTTTTTAAAAATTATTATTATATTGGGTTCCTTCCTTTCTCAGTGATTATTATGCCACAGAAAAATTTTATTTTTATACTATTTTCATGAACATCATTTTGAAGAGTTACAAACATTCTAGACTATAAATGAGTTTTAATTGAATGATTTCTTTTGTTGGACACATAAATTATTTCCACATGAATATATTGTTTCTATGAGATTTTTGTACATCAGCCTAATCTAAAGGATTATTTTTTCAGGATAGATTTCTAGAAGTGGAATTAATGAGTAAAAGAGTATATATTTCAAAGTCTTTTGATACATTCAAAAGCATTTTTCACAGTGAGGATCTCATTGGATCCTCACACTGCTGTGGTCAGTAAGACAGATAACAACCCTATTTTATAGATGAGAAAACTGAAATCAAATGAATTTAAAGGAATTTCCCAAAATTTCTTCGAACTTGGGATTTATCACACAGCATCAAAAGTTCTCACAACTCCCTTTCTGTGACTTAGCCAAAGGAGAAAGGAATGTTGAAGAAACTGTATCTTGAACTTCCCCTTGTGTTGAAGCATACTTAACTCTTGAGTTCTAAACCCTTAATTCTCAGGGAGGACACTAGGAAAGTGCAGAGAAGGAGGAGTTAGGGGACAGATCTGAGCCACTGGTTTGCTGGGACAGACCCTCTAGGACTTTAATATTTTTATCTATCAAACGTTGAAAGAAAACTTGAGAGGATCACTTGGACCCGGAAATCCTGTGATTTTAACTGTGGCGGAGTGGGAAGGGAGAGCGGCAAATGGGACAATTCGGTTGAGTCCTGAAGCCTTTGACCCAGTGTCACAATCCGGTGTTGAGCCAATAGCATGTGAGTGTTAGAATTAACACAAACGCAACTCTAAGTGCACGTCTATTTGCCTAATTGATCATTCTGACCCTGAAAAGTATGCCAAAAACCTTGTCAATAACTTTTGCAAGAAAGTTCCCAGAATGATTTAGGCTCTCAGAACATCTGGTAATTCTTCAAAGGAAAGCAGTACGGAGCCACACAGGCCTACTTCAAGAAACAAGAAAAATCCCCCCAAAATAATCTAACTTTACACCTAAAGGAAGTAGAAAAAGAAGAATAAACAAAACCCAAGATAAGCAGAAGGAAGGAAATAATTAAGGTCAGAGCAGAAATAGAAATTTTTAAAAAAAATAGAAGAGATCAATAAAACCAAAAGCTGTTTCTTTGAAAATATAAACAAAATTAACAAACCCTTAACCAAACTCATCAAGAAAAAAAGAAAAAGAGCCCAAATAAATATAATCCTAAATGAAAGAGAAGTAACACCTGACACCACAGAAATACAAGGAATCATTAAGGAATACTACAATTATATGCCAACAAATTCAGCAATCTAAAAAAATAATAATAATAAATTTCTAGAAGCATATAACCTTCCAAGACTGAACCAGGAAGACATAGAATATTTAAACAGACCAATTACTAGCAATGATATTGAAGCAGTAATCAAACTCCCAACAAATAAAGTCTAGGACCAGATGGCTTCAAAGGTAAATTCTACCAAACATTTAAAGAAAAATTAATACCTATCCTTCTTAAACTACTTCAAAATGTCAAAGAGAAAAGAACACTTTCCAACTCACTCTATGAAGAAAACAGCATTATACTAGGTCTAGTGTTACCTGACATGAATAAATTACACTATATCTAACAAATCTCCTATTGTTAGACATTGAAATTGCTGCCAATGTTTTACTATTTACATACATAAATATGTATATGTAACATAAATAAAAATATACATAATTTATGTAGAATATAAATATAGTTAATGTGATATATAAATATTATATATAGTATATAAATCAAACATTTTATATATAATAAAAATGTATATATAAAACTTTATCTGCTCTTTATTTTTCTGAAATAAGGTGGGTGAGTGAAATTCCTGCAGGTTCTGATCCCATATTTCATAACTCTGCTTCACTCACGTCACCTAAACAGTCATGAAAAAGTGTTCTGAATGATGTATGAATGGTTTAAGCCTTTGTGTGCAAATGAAAACTTTAGAATGCTAGCTTAATTTTACTTGTCTCAAGGGACAAAGAGCCTGTCCCAGGAAGCCTGCCCCAGGGAAACAAGTTCAGCCCTGCATACTGAACACACCTGAACTGATTAAAAGCCTTAGTAGGGAAACAGATTGATCTCTGCTTTCATGTAAGATAAGAAGCTGGAATATAAGGCCTCTGAGGGTTAAAAACATTGATGTATAAGGATAATACGATATTAATAACTGGTTATCAGAGAAATGGGATAGTCTGTTTTGCAAACTGGGCACAGATGTCAAAGACAAATAAATGATTCATGGGGGAAAAAATGTTCACCTTCCTTCCACTATCTTTCTCCCTTACAATCCTATTCATTGTAGAAAAATTATACAATGCAGGTGAGCAAAAAGTAAATAAACTAAATTTGTCACTGCCAGAAGATAATCATTGTTAATAATTTGGCAGACTGTATATCTTTCTAAGCTTTATCTATGCAAATAAATCTAAATTTTTTCAAAAATGGAAATATACTCTGCACAGTATTTTTCATACCCCTGGAAGATATTGCCGGAGCACGAGTGCTTCCCCGAGACTGTGCTGTAGATGTGTTAGCCTGCCTCTCCATTTCAGGCGTATCTTGACAAGTATTACACCAGGAAAGGAGGGCACCAGGTTGGTGAGATGGCTGCACGAGGAAGCAACTCGATAGTAAAGAAGATTAAGGAGCTACAAGCGTTCTTTGGCCTCCAAGTCACGGGGAAGTTAGACCGGTCCACAATGGATGTAATCAAGAGGCCTCGCTGTGGAGTTCCTGATGTGGCAAACTACCGCCTCTTCCCAGGCGAACCCAAATGGAAAAAAAATACTTTGACATACAGGTAATAAGATCTGAGTCTTTCCAAATTCATAAACACACTCTCTCTCTTTCCTTCTTTTCTTTTAAAAAAATCTTTCTTCTGCTCTGTATAAATATCATGATTCATCATAACCACAAGAAGGAAGCACTTTTAGGTCCAGTCTTTACACAGTGACGATGGAGATTCACTAGAAAATATGATCTCGGGATTATTGTAATGGCCGGCCATCTCAGGGATTACAATTTTACCAGTTAGAGACAACACATTTATCTTTAAAGAAAAATAATCTAGACTAGGATTAATAACCTGGCAATATCAACCAGCATTCTTAAAACAACCTATTCACTCAGAAGGGTATGATAAAATTCACCTATCAATAAATTAGTTGTTTTCATGGATTTAAAAAGTCATTTATTGATGACTTACTAAGTACCTGCTATAGGCATTCAATTTTGAAGATAATTTGTCCTTTATCCATTGGCCCTTAGCCCCAGGCTCCTCCCCTTTGTTCTACCTTATGCTCCCCTTCCACCTCCCCGCTTCCTGGTCATCCTCTGGCCTTCTCCCACCCAGAGCAAGGATTCAGTGTAGTCCGAGGGGACATGCCCATCATAACCTCCTCCTCTCTGCGGTCCAGGTCATCACACAGGAATTCCTTCCCAGAAGACTGGTCCCACTTCTGGGGCCAGCACAGGCCTCCTTGCAGGTCCACCTGAGTTGGACCATCCATGCTGCCCATCCATGCACCTGAGGGTGGGGTTGGAAACAGGCAGAGTGCACGTGGACCTGTGAGACTCTTGCATGCTAGACAGAGGTGGCATTGGAAAAAGAAGGGCAGCCTCCATTTCCATGTGTTTTCCCCAGACTTTCCAAATGTAGAGATTTTCCTTCGAGGTAAAAAAGCAGACCAAGCAAACAGCTGCAGGGAGTGGAATGGCCTGCCTAGTGTGTGGGTGGTAGGGCCTTAGGCAGGGCAGGCGATGGAGAGCTGACCGAGGGCAGCTTGTACTTGAGGCAAAACTATATTCTGGAATTTAACCCCAGGGGTAGGAGAACCAGACCAGGGTCAGGATCAGATTTTGCTCTTTGGATAAGCACATCTGGTTGATATCTGGGCATGGAGAAAGAATGGGCGGTTAAATAGTCCCAGCAGTGGTGTGCTGGAGCTGGCTAGTGATAGCTCACAAGAGCCAACCCTTAAATTTTCTGCAATTTTGCAGCCAGTTGTTAAGTTTCCAAGAATTTTGTGAGCTCGTTGATAAACAAAGCCATTATTAAAAATTAAATTAAAACTTACAATTAAATAAATTATACAAAAAATAAAGGTAATCAAAACATTGCTTTTTAATTATCATACTACATTTATCTATGTTCTCGAAGTCATTTACACATATTTTATTTGTATCATGAAAATGAGGTGCCCTTGCTCACTTCTTCCCAATTTTGTGTTCTGTGGTGGTAAGTGGGCAACTTGAAATTAGCCATAATGAGAATGTTTTCAGTATGAAAATCTGCAAACCCTACAGATCAAGAATTTTCGTCATAGAGCTGGTGGTTGAACTGTACCAGTAGACCTGCTAGTCCCTGGAATCAAAGTAGGGCCCAAACTAAGCCACTTGTTAGCTGCTATGAGCTTACGAGTCCATGAGGTGGCATTCAAACACAATTATTAGTTGGCTTCAGGCTTGAGAAACACAAAAAGCATTTGATCCCCTCAAGGAAAAACAAATGTATAAGGAGTTGAACACACAGTGATTATGAGACAATTAAGGGTAAGACAGAAAAAAAATTTATATAAACCCATGGAATCCTTTTCATCATTTTATTAAAATAAGCTGTATCCTATAATTTTAGTCTATGAATATACACAGCAAAAACAAAAGGCATAGATTAGGATAATTTGGGACTTGAGAAGTGTAACACATTTTTGTGATCAACTGGGCAGCCCCCAAACCCCCTCAACACCCTCACACTGCCCACCCACTTTTGCTCTGCCCGGTCATGAGAGGCTTAGTACTCTGTCTACACAGCTACTGGATTCCAGAATAACTTCCTAAAACAGAGGATTTAAAAAGATGAAATATATCATAGTGCTTATGTGCAGACGCTTTGGAGTCAGGCAGAACTGGGCTCAAATTCTGACAAATCATAAAGTGTAGATTATTATTTTTAGCTCTTAAGGTGTTGTGAGAATTAGATGGGATATCACGTTAAAGAGCACTTAGAACAGTGTATGACCCTTAGTACGTGTTCAAAGGATATTGACTACTGTCATTATTGCTTTACTAAACACTCGACCTTGGGTCAGGACTCTTCTCTATGTCCTTGTCTTTCCCTGTCTTCTCCAGCCCAACACACAGTCAGCTCAAAGGTATGGATGGCTGCCTTGTCAATAATGTGAGGGAAATTCAAGGTACTAACTGTACAGAATTGCGATAAATCACAGATTCTTGTTATGCGGTGACCTTGACATGCTTTGAAAGCTCTAAATGGTCCCTGTAAGGGTCCTTCTGGCTTTCCCCTTCAACTTGTTGTTTTTGTCCCCAACCCCTGGAGTTAAAGATCTAGCTTCTTCTCTCTCCAATGCTAAGCTGAGCTATTTACCATAGTCTCTGTGAGACATGGTCCCTCTTGTGGTGGCACGGGGAGGGGTGGAGGGAGACGCTCGGGATTCCCTCTGTCGGTCTCTGGTTGAGATTGTATCATCTGCATCAGAATAACCTAGGATACTTGCAAAAGTGCCTATTCCTGGATCACACCTGTACATTTAAAAATCTCCCTAGGTAGTTATCATGGGTCCTAAAATTTGAGAACTGAAAGACCTGAGAAGACCTGAAAAACTACTAACTTTTATTCATTAATTCATCCATTTATCAAGTATATTTGCTAAATACCCACTCTGTGCAAGATGCTGAACTAAGAGCTGGAGTAACAGAGAAAGAAAGGAGACTCTGTCCTGCTCTCCCCGTTGGCTGTCGTAGACCTAGCTTCTTATTCTTTAAGCACCATTCCATCCCAGCCCAGGTCCAGGTAGAAGTACCTCTTCCCAGCCCTGTCTCTGCAGGCGGCCAGAACCCATCTCCCGCCCCCCACCTGGCACCAGAGCTGCACAGTTTAGCACAAACTGTCTCTCTCTACAACCTTTTGTCCCCTCCAAAAATCTCTACAGTTTTCTGCCTGCAGATGTCATTGTCACACCAGGGCTTGATAGAACTCAAGCCTTTTTCAATTCAAGTAAACACTTCCTCTTTTAGAATTCATTATTTTAAGAAAACAAATATTCCCCCATGGCCCTGGGGAAATCCTGATGGCCTTTGAATAAGAGTTTGTAAAACCTCCCAACTCCACTTTTTTATTTTTTATTTTTACAATTGAAAAATGTCAGTCTCTTATAGGAAGAAGAAATCTCTTCTCAATTAAAACCACATTAGAGAAAATGGACTTCTTGGTATTTGTAAAGTTACCCAGGTATTACTCTTCAAAATTAGTTATAATATAGTAACAAAGAAAGACAAACGGTTTCAGCACCAGATTATCATAACTCTTTCACTTCTTCAACTTTACTTTTCTTATTGTTTAACGTGGTTCAGTAATTTAACAAATACGAAAGCAAAATAAAAATTATTGTTTTGAAGGAAAAGTCTAAATTGTAGATTTATGTTCAATATTTAAATTTTTAATGCAAACAATATAATTCTTGACTTCACTTATCATTTACTAAAAGAAAAACATGTTCCTTCTATTTTCACAGAATATCTAAATACACATCATCCATGACTTCTGCTGATGTAGACAAGGCAGTGGAGATGGCCTTGCAGGCCTGGAGTAGCGCTGTTCCTCTGAACTTTGTGAGAATAAATTCAGGAGAAGCGGATATTATGATATCTTTTGAAACAGGAGGTACTGTGGTGCTTCTTGGATTTTGTCTACTAATCTAGAGGAGAAATGTTCCGATACTATTCCTTCTACAATACTTAATCTAAGTGATCAGCACAATCCCTCTTTGCAGAGTACTGTGATAGGCAGAGGTCAAGATCATGGCAAAGTCATGATCTTCATCTGGCCAGAAAAGAGACCAGAGGAGTTCTCAGCATTTCTTGTCATCATTAGGCTGAGCTGCAGAATGGACTCAGTAACACCAGTTTTCATGTGGTTTTGCCCCATTAGCAACAGATTCTGTCCGATTTAGCTTTCCCATTGGTTGGGAGCCGTATGACTTCATGTCGTTCCCATGATGATGTTCATTGCTTTTTATCCCCTTCTATATTAGCCAAGAATCCCCCACCTTGAATCCTCACTGAAGGAAACAAATTTTACCGTGGCCCTGACAGCTTTGTCCCTGCGGCAGAGGGTCGGCGAGTGGCGGTGCTGTCTCGGCCCCGCTCGCAGACTACTTCGGGAATCACAGGGCCTGACTCCAACTTGCCCCCTTCTCCATCCCCCACTCACCTGGTAAGGGGTAGGGGCATAACTTTGCACAGAGATCCGTAGAGTGCCCTAAGCCTTTTCAGAGAAATCTTGTCTGGTTAGTAGACAAAAGAAAGGCCATGAAATTACCTTCTCTTTTTAGCTTCTAATAGGCCAAACTAAGTGAGTGCCACTGCTCTCACCCTCCACGGATACCATGTCTAGATGTCCCTCTGATTTCAAGTCTTGATCTTAATTTTAGTCTGATATCACTGGGGAAAATCATGCTTAGAAGCTAGGAGTGAGAAGATCAAGCTAATCCTGAGTATAAACCCTGTAGAGATGACCCATGGTGGGGACTGTTCCTTCCAGAGGACAGAGGCTGCCCCCAGTAAAAGAGCAGGACGGTGTGGCCCAGGACAGCTTTGGGGGCCATGGAGTTAGCATATTTGTGCCCTGTCCCCTAAATTAAAATACTAGCTGACTAGGGTCTGTGCTGCCATTTCACTAGGTGCCTCAGGACATACAACCTGGCTTAACTGCACCTCATATAACCTGGGAAATGACACACTAGGACTTTGTTTTGTTGGTTTTTAATAAAACTGTATTGTCACAAAAATCCTGAAAAACTATGAAATGTAGCTTCAACACCATCCCTCAATGTATCCTTCCCCTTTTCTACTAAATTTGTAATGAACTGTTAATTAAATGTAGATCATAAAATAGAAATATATGAAGCTTTAAAAGTTAGGAATGTTTAAACACCTTTATTACTTTCATGAGTTTTTCACATGAAAGTGTATCAGAATGACAGAGAAATTTTTGACACTTCTTTAAATTATATTGTATTGTGCTGTACAATCAGAAAGCACGCGTGTTCAGTTTGCTCTTACTGTCGTAGCTAAATCTTATGTGAAAGCTGCACTTTACCAATGCATTTGCATTCCTGCCAGTGGAAGGGGTGGCTCCCGAAAGACCATCTGTGCTTTCTCCTTTTGAATCTATGCCATGGGCACGACTCACAGTATGGCTCATACCTATTAACATATATCAAACTAAAAACAATAACAAGAAATATTTTATGTTTAATGCTTACTACCTTTGAAATATAAAACAGCCTTTTAATTTTCCAGTTGACATTGAACTTCCTATTATAAAAAAATGAATATCGAAAATCTATTTGAATAAGAAGTGTCAGTGCTATTCAAAAGGTTGTCCATTCCCTGTAATGTTATGTACCACTCACACTGGTAGAAGGACTAAATGCTATTGGCATTTCTTCCTGCTTGTTTAGATCATGGGGATTCCTACCCATTCGATGGGCCTCGAGGGACTCTAGCCCATGCTTTTGCACCGGGAGAAGGCCTGGGAGGAGATACACATTTCGACAATGCTGAGAAGTGGACTATGGGAACGAATGGTATATATGCACAATTGACCATAACCTGGAAAATAGTGTACCTTCTTCTGGGCCTCCATCATGAAACCTTGAGGTTCAACGTCCCAAGCCACCCTTTAACTAGGGGGGCTGGCTAGGAAAAACAAGTAAGCCAAAAATCCAAAAGGGAAAGACCCTCCCTCAGTTGTGCTGTAGGCTTGTTTGTTCTCTGGTTCATAGCATATAATCTGAAGAAGCAGCAATCCCCTCCTCAACACACAGCTCTGTCGCTTCGCCTCCATAGTATTTACTGTTTCTTACTTGTACTTGGAAATTGGCTACATTCGGAAATGACTTGAGGGAATCAGAACTCTTCTGAGAAGTGTGGTGGGGATGAGTATAAAAGTTCCAGAACATCGGGCATGTCATCTGGAAATCTTCAGTGTGAGATGTGTGTGGATAGAGGAGTAGGCCATAATAGCAGTGAACTAGTAAAGCATTTGTGATCTAAGTCTACATATTATTGCCACTATTATCATTTTGCCACTATTAGCTCTAATTAGACCTTTTTTATCAACCTACTGAGAATAACTGACAATGAACAAAATCAATTGATTTACATTTCCCTCTTCCTCCACCCCCAAGCCTCTTCTAGACAACAGGGAAAGGACTGAAGTAAGCAAAACTAAGTGCCAGAATAACCTACAAACCTTTGAGTAATCCAGTTATGAAAACAAAATAAGTTAACTGTGCTTTGGGTGTAAAGGCTCCTGTAAAGACAGAAGATACTGAAAATAAAACCCTGTGTTGATGCTGTCTTTTCCTCTCTCATGTTGTCTAGGTTTCAATTTATTCACCGTTGCTGCTCACGAATTTGGCCATGCACTGGGCCTGGCCCATTCCACAGACCCCTCAGCACTGATGTACCCAACTTATAAGTACCAGCATCCCTATGGATTTCACCTCCCCAAGGATGACGTGAAAGGGATCCAGGCATTGTACGGTACAATCACTGCACTTCTTTGACGACTAACCCTGAAAGTAACAAGCATGTACTCTCCAACTTAGAGAAAGTATATTTTTCAGGAGTTACCTGCAGAGGTAAAGATTAAGTTAGAGACCACAGCCCCACCTATGCCCTCCTGTGAATAGCTTCTTTGCTAGATATGAATACTACTTTCTTCGAAGATGTGCAATTACATTTTATATTTTTTCTCCAAAGCATATTGCTCCCACAATGACTGTAGAAAATACAGTCTGTGTGTGTGTGTATATGTGTGTGTGCATGTGCGAGTGTGTACATCAGGATTTAGGCTTTGGGAGAAGATCAATATAGTTTATCATTCATAAATATGGTGCTTACCCATTTTCAGATAAGTGGACTTATCTTTCTAAAAACAGAAATTATGGTGATAATAACTACATCACTCAGTTGCATGGACAATCTGCAGTTTAAAAAAACATGTCTTGAGTCATCCTGTACCATCCCCAAGACCAGCTGGTGGGGTGTGAAGTGTTTTCCTCACTTGGTAGCTGAGAAAGCTGAGGCTCAATGACAGTAAATGTCCTAAGATACTCAAAATTATCTCCAGTGTTAACATTCTTTCAAACGTAATAAAGGATTACTAGAAACTCTATATCCACTTCCTTAACAGAAAGACAAATCATTAATCCATGAGAAGGAATCTTGATACACTGTTAGAACTTAACCCTTTTTCTTTCATGGATAAAAGGCAGAAAAATCTAGAAACAGGTTTTCCTTTAAGCTTGGGAGCCGGGTTTCCAGTCTTTGCCTGTCCCTGGAGGCAAATGGCTCAGGCAGCCCCAGCTCATCCTTCTGTAGCTGGCAGGAAGTCCCTCAGGAACACGGAGCGGGAGGTGAAAGCTCACCAGCAGGTCTCCCAAGGAGGGAGTCCTTGCTTTACAAGAGAATCCACCAGAAGATGCCTTCCCCCCCACCCTATTTTTTCTCTCAAGCATAAGACAGGGGAGGCAGGGATCTTGAATTAGTAAGAATAATAAACCTTGGCTGCTGAAATAAACATCTCCAGGACCTCAGTGGCTTAGCACAATGCACAATAAAACTTATTTCTTGCTCATGCAAAGACCAATTCATTGGTATGACTGTTGGATAGCCCTTCTCCATGCAGCGACACAAACATACTGACCTCTTCTAGTTTCTGTACCCTTTATGTCATAGTCCTTCACTTCTGTCCACAATGGTTCAAAAGCTTGGGGAAGTCATCCTCTATAAAAAAAACGTTTCTTGGACTGCGAGTTACTTGTATCACAGGTGATGCCTTTAAATACTAAACACCTTCAGTGAACTTCAATGCCACAGAATTCTCAGGTTTTCCCACGTGCCTAATAAAACACTTGTGCTCAGGGCAGTGCACCCAGAAGTGGATGAAAATAATATGAAAACACATAAGGAAGTTATCATCCTATTGAGAACAAAGTACTTAATTACAAAGAAATAATCAGTGGCAACCTTTAAAATACATCTCTAATTTGGAACACCTGTTGCTATCAAAGAAGTCATATCTAATAACAATAACTACCGTTCTTTGAATATTTACTCTGTGCCAAGTGCTCTACTAAGTCTTTTCAGGCACTATTGAATTCTCACAAAATCCTGAGGTAGGTACTGTTATTGCCCCCTCCCATTTTACAAATGAGGAAACTGAGGCTTTGGGAGATTAAATTGTTTGCCCATTTATAACACAGCTCAGTACCTACTGAAGCTGGATGTGTCACCTTGTCAATTAAGTGAATCTCTTGTCAAATATAGTGGGTCTCTGGGGCAGGAGTGTACAGATTCCAGGTTCCTGCTGCCATTTGACCAAGTCACTTTGAATCCTAGGACCTCGGAAAACGTTCCCAGGAAAGCCCACTGTGCCAGATGTCCCCCCTCATAATCCGTCCATCCCTGACCTCTGTGATTCCAGCTCATCCTTTGATGCAGTGACAATGTTGGGCAAGGAGCTCCTACTCTTCAGGGACCGGTAAGCCTAAAACATGCTTAAGACTATGAGGTTGTCCTTGAACTGTGAAGAAAAATAATTTATAAACTTTGTCACGCAACATCTCATTCTTCCATGTCAATGAATTTTGATTTTCATCTTTATTTTATGTATGTATATAGGGCGGGGCAAAAGTAGCTTGACAGTTGTGAGTATGTGAAACAGTTTATTCTTGTATTTTTCTTTATTCACTATTGCATTCTTTTCTATACAAGCAACTGGAAATCTACTTTTGCCCCACCCTGTATACTATTCCAATGAATAGATATAATATTACTTACATAACCAATCCATACTTATGAACATCTAGATTATTCCTAATTTTTTTAAACTATAAACAGCTTAAACTAAATCTTTAACAATGGATGGACATCTACTTTTCAAAGGCAGATTAGAGCAAGAGCTCAGGAATCCAGGCTTTACCATCAGGCTAACCTTGGTATAAATTCTGACCCTGCTTCTTACTGACCTGGTGACCCTGAGCAAGTGATGCACCACATACAGTGATCACTCAATAAGTATTTAGGAGTGAGAATCAAAAATTATGTACAATGGATTGAGCCTTGGAAACTTGAGGTATTTTTATTATTATTTATTTTTACTGATTTTTTAATTAAGGCATTGATTATTGACTTTTTTATTGACTATTACCAAGAGTAAGCCAAACAGAATTGGTAGGCATTGATTCAGGAGTGACTAGCAAGAGACAGAGCAGGTGGAGCCTGAACACCATGCTAAGTAATGCTGGCTTCATCTAAGGGATAACGCTGTTAGGTTTTACATCCTATTGTCCAGACTGGTGCATCTAGTGCTCATTCAGTGATAAAGAAATGATTTGTTAGCCATGGTGTAGCAGGTAGCTTATTCTTTTGACAAGTGTCAGTGGCTGTGGTAGAGACAAAGGCAAGAGTGATGTTAAAGATATTATGCCTTTCCATGCAATTATAATTATTTTCTTAATAAGCAAAAAAAAATTAAAACCCTCTATCAAACTATGAGCATTTAGCAATTACTAATGACTATTTGAAGTAGATACATCTTTTGAGAAAGTCTAGACTGTATCTACTGAGGGTGATAACAGAATAGAAAGAGTAGCATAGCTGAAAGGCACTTAGAAATGAGTGGTCAGGGAGGGACGATGAGCGGTGCCCTCCTAGCACTGATCTCCATGGGACCTGGAACCTCTCTTCCAGGCATGGAAGAGAGGGGCATGAATCATTATTCTCTTCTTGTAAGACATAGAAAGGATAAGCAACTTGTTCAAGAACCCATTGCTAGCGAGGGATAGAACAGGGGCCCATGCCTCCACTGTCCTATGGCAGGGCTTATGCTCCTAACGATCCCGCTCTACAGCCTCCTACTATGTTGTCCAGAGAAAGAATCCCATGACTCTATAGCTCTGTCACCAAAAGTCCCAAAATGCTTGCTAAGCCTGGACATAGAACAAAGAATTCTTTCAGGTCACAGCTACAGTGGCAACCTGGGGGCCATTATGAAAGAGCTCCCAGTCTGTTCTCTCCCACCCACAAGCCTGGAATTCCCCACTGCCAACAATAATCTGTTGATGAGGCATTTTAAACTGTGAATGTAATAACCACACTGTTTATTTCCAAAGCAAGATGGAATGCAGTACCTTCTGAAATCACTATGAGATTGTTACATATTATCTATAGTGTATAAAGGTACATTGGTACATTCAAATATTCTGTTTGAAGAGAAATAAACTTCAGGTATAATAAGTTGAAAGCCATATATATTTAATTTATGTATGTTTATTCTTTATAATAGATGACAAAATACTGAGACTTCCCAGATTTCCTCAGGCACTTTGGGAAGAGTAGAAGTAAATGACTGAATTACAGCCATACCAAAATCATACCTGCATCTCTCAGGTTATTCTGAGTTTTACACAGTATCATTTTAAGAATAAAATCAAGACTATCACAGTCAGCTACAGACCTGGAAGAATAATAGCATTTTATAAACGGAATAAATATAAAGGTTGATCAAGCCCAAATTCTTTGTTTTAGAGATAAGAAAGCTAGACCAGGTCTCCCAGCTGAGCAGACCCTCTACCGCAACCCTGGTCTTCTGATTCCCAGTCTCAAGTTGATCCTATCACTAGTATAGAAAACCTGATTATGCAGTGGAACCACCAACAGAAGCCCCAAGTGGCTTGGATGAACTTGTGCCCTTTGCCTGGATCCATGTGAGTCGGTATGAAGGCACTCAGGGCGGCGCCTGGCCTCCTGGGCTCACGCCCGCCTGTCAGCCAAACGGCCGCAGGAGGAGGATGTTCTTAGACTACCTGAGTTTCCCAAAAGTGTTTGGTAGGCTTCTCCACACTCTGTTTTATTCTCAAAGCAGGATTCTTTATTTAGAAACATCTGTATCTTACATGAGAATGCAAAGAAAGACATTTTTAAGCATATGCAAGTCCACAAGGGAATCAACAAGAAGGATCAATGAAAAAGGTACTCGGAGGGAGGCACCAGCAAGGCTTGTACAGTAATTTGATGGGAGAATAATGGGGCAAAAGCATTGAAAGTAGCCGCATAATTCACATAAATGGGAAAATCAAGATTTGCTGGGTGCATGAAGAAAAACTCAATGTTAGGTGTGTTGAATTTCCGGTGATGCAATTCTACTGGAGTTTTATAGAAATACGCTGGTGCTCAGAGGAGAGTTGAAGGCTTCATAGGTTATGAAATCTCCCACATGGAGGGGATGGTTAAAGATGTGAAATAAGCTCCAATAATAATAATGATAACAACAGAGATTTGTGATCATTCACAGTGTGCTGAGTGTTATGCTGAGCGTTTTATAGACGTTTACTCATTTAATCCACACTATTATTATCTCCAGCTGGAATTTTAACCTAGGTCTACTTGACATCAGAGGCAGAATTCCTATAGTGGTGCCCCAAATAAATCAGAAAAAAAGAGGCTTCTTTAAAAGAGTAAATAGCAGTGGAAATGCTGCCCAAGGTCACGAGATTGAGAACTGAAGAAAAGGGACAGGCTGGCCAGTATATTAAGGAATGTCATTTCAGTGGAGTAGTGAGGAAGGGAACCAGAATTTGTGGAGTGAAAGAATATTGGTGAAAAACTAATGGAAGTTGTTCCTTTGAGAATCTTGTTGATAACAAGGGAAGGTAAGTCAATAGCTGGAAGAGGCAGCAGGGTCAAATGAGGATTTTTCAAGATGGGAAATACCTGGACATATTTGAAGACATGAAAAGGAGCCAGTAGAAAAAAAGAAATGCAAAGTGCTGTGTAAAGCAAGGGCAATAAACTCAGTAACCACTGCTGTTAGATAGTATGGTGGGAATCTAGCATTTCCCAGGGTTCCATGGGCTTGAGGAAAGCTGGCACGACTGAGGAGGAAGTTTTCCTTTTTCACAGTCTCCCTGGAGTTGTGTCTTTTCTGTAAGGTTGCATTACTAAATGGCGTTGTATTGACTTAGGCCGATTCTCTGTTACATATTAAGAATTCAGACAAAGAGGCAGAAGGTGTACTAAGACCCCTGACTCATTATTTCTTATGAATGCCCTCCTTTTGGCTAAGAAGGGGGCCCTTTACATCTTCACAGGTTATGGTTTATAAATAAGGTTCCCCATCATCTTCACAGATGGTCGTAAACAGGTAATTTAAGGGAACTGTGCACGGCTGTGACTGTCTTTAACCCACACCACTGTCTCAGCATGGGTTTTCACTTATAAGCTGTATTTTGCTTGGGCTCAGTGAGATAGGTGTTGCATGGTTGGGCTCTGGTCCTCTAAAGTACTCTGATAGAAGCAAACCTGGTTAGTGAACCCTTCAAAATTAATGGCTTCTCAGCCAGCAATGTGACAGTTTGTACCTCTAAGTTTCCAGTGAGAGCAATATTTCCTATCAGGTGGGTAAATTTAGAAGAAAACTTGTCTCTATTGATAAACTGTAAATTTAAGTTTTACATATTATAAGTTAATAATTTTGTAGAGTGAAAACATCTTTTTAAAGTGTATATAAATAATTATGAGTAGTCCAGAGTTTAGAAAATGCTTTCATGTGCATTATCTCAATTGATCCTTTAAAGTATTAGCACAAATATTATTGTTGTTTTCACTCTTATTTGACAGAAAGTGCTTGAGTCCCAGAAAAATTAAGTGACTCACATGAGGTCATATATCTGATGATAAAACAAAGTTTCAAGCATCCCTTGCTTCTACCACTGCAGCACAATCTCAGGGCAGAGGGACAGCAGTTCAAAAAGGTAGAAAACAGAAAGATACCTCTTCCCCCAGAAACTAGGGAATATGATAACAGAGAATAACAGAATCAGGAAGAGTAAAGAGTTGAAGGGATGGAAAGATCAAGGCACCCATTCAGCTCGTGCTGGATTACCTCCACTGTCCAGCAAACAGGAGAGGAAGGCATCTCCCGAAAATAAAAGATGGATGAGATCAGCTTAGAACGGTGGGAGTGAAGATGGTTGAGTAGAATGAAAAAAGAGCAGAGGTTTAACAAACATGGATCGAGTCCCTAGGTGTACCAGGCACTCTGCTAAACCGAGGTTTAAAAGATGACTCATACACACCCCCGCCCCCAGGAGCTCACAGGACTGGCCCTGAGCTGCGAAGGGCCAGGCAAAGTTTACCAGTGACCTAATGTCAAACCTGATGAAATAGTTGCTATTCTTTAGTAAGAGAGAGTGAAAATTTCAGAGAATATGAAAATCGATGATCAAATAAATTCTCCTCAACCCTCTGGCACCCATTTATTTTTCCAACAAATAGTTATTGAGCTCTGACTATGTGCCAGGCACAGCGTTGGCTTCTGGGCACAGAAAAATAAACAATGGAGCTAAGTATCTAACCTGCAGGTCTCTAATATCAATAAGTTCCATTGTTTTGTCTTCTTTATCAAAGATCAGGTTACAGATTATTGATGTGGTCTCTTCAGCTGTTTTCATTTCTAGTTTTAATATATCCTGCAGCTGTTCTTTTCCAACAAGCTCGTAGATTTGGGGGAAGAGGGACATTTTATATTTTAAATCCATTTACAGGTGTATAAGGAGGTTATTTACTATACTCTCTTTTGTCAATTTTAATTTATTTATTTTTGTAATCTATAGCTCTAAGATTGTAAATCTTCTGAGTATCTGTTCTGTTGCTTTATTACCAACCAGACATAATTTTTTTCATTAACATAAGGAAAATTTTCATGACTGTAGATTCCTTTTAGAATTTGTGATACTTGATGGCTAGAGTTTATTTCTATCTTATGCATACAGTGTCTACATTATAATATGCCGTAACAGTGTTTAAACCAGGGTTTCTCAGCTTTGGCACTACTGGTATTTTGTGCCAGACAAACTTTTGCTGTGCCAGGCGGCCCTGTGCATTGCGGGGTGCTCAGAGGCCCCCACTAGACTCCAACAGCACTGCCCAGGCCCAGCCGTCACACCAACATCGTCACCAGACATTGCAAAATGCCCCCCAGGGCAGGGAATCACGCTTGGTTTAGAATAACTCCTCTACCTCAATTTAGTCCTCACAGTACCCACAGTACATAAATCCAGGTTCATGTAGTAAGGACGTTAAGATTCTACCACTGGTAAAATGTTACAAAAGTACCTTTTTAGTTTGCCTGCACTCAATCACTACACTTTACTACCTCTCATATCGAGTCCCTTGAGAGATCAGTGTCCTGTAACTTCAAATAAAAGATAGGGTTCAGTTTTGCCGAGAGTCCCTTATCGATTTTAAAATGAGAAATCAAAGGAAATGCATCCCAGCTTCAAGGTGCCCAGGGAGAGAATCAGCTGTTCCTCATCAGAGACAAAATGCAGACCGAGCCTATTTATCAGAGGATGCGTCTGCCCTCCCCATGGCCCGTTTTCCTGCTTCCTCACTCCCCACATTATAATCCCCTGAAATGCACACCTCATGCCTTAGTAAGCATCTAGCACAGCAACTTGAACAGAATCAGCACTTCAGAACTATAGGTGAACTGAATTAATTGGAAAACACTTGCTTTTCAGATTCCTGATCAAGTTCTCAATTAACCCATGGGTTTGGTCTCCTCATCAAAGATCAGATCATGGATTATCGACATGATCTGTTTATCTATTTTCACTACCCAATTCTTCTGGATACCCAAATCTGTGCTCGTTTTGTCCTGGTGGAGAAAAAGAAGAGAAAGCAGTCCCTCTTACTTTCAGAAAAAGCTAGGCCTGATCGGACAAGAGGTCAAATTATAAACAAAGAAAAACCAAGGATCACAAGCTAAGAATGAGCAAGTAGATGAGATAGGGCAAGTGACGAAAATAGGGACAGCTATAGTCTAAATCAGGTTTGTCTCCCCCTAACCACCAGATGAACTTGGGGCCCGTCGGCCATTTTTGGGTCTGTTTTTCATCTGGCAATTCCATGTTCCAAGTAAGACTGTCAATGTATAGGGCCTGAGGCAAGGCAGTGTACCCTAAATGGACTTCTGCCACCTGTGCATGGTCTATGGTGGGTGCCCGATGAGTGGGTGGTTAAGGCCTAAGCAAATAATAGTTTTTATAATTATAATATATGTTTATAATGCACTTTCATAAATATTATCTCATTTGATCCTCGTAATGATCTTATGAGTTAGGACAGGTATTATTTGCATTTAAGAGAAGATGAAACTGAAGCTTGGAGGCACTGGCCAGTTGGAACTCTAGCCTACATCTTCTGAAACACAACATGCTCTTCCTTCTGCACCATGATGCCACTAGGAAACAGAAAGAAATATTTCTCTCTTCCCAGTAGCTCTCTTTTATATTTCATCATCAGCTTAAATTGCCTCATCTGGGATGCTTTCACTAAACCCCTAAGTGCAAGAAGGTGTCCCTTCTGTACATTCCCAGAGCATCCTAAACTTACCTCTTTGTGGAACTGATCTCTCTGAATTAGAATGTTCCAATTACTCATCTGTCTATACTACTAGACTGACTGCAAGCTGCTTGAGGGCAGGGCCTGGGTCTTGCTCAGTGCCATCCCTGATGTCCCATAAATATTTGTTCAATTAGTTGAATAGGAAGCAAAACATAAGATTTGAGGAGTTCCTTAAGTCACTGCATGGGAAGTTAAATGCCAAAACTTTACTACAGTTTCCCTGCCCACAAATAACTTTTTCTATTGACTCCAGCTTCTGTGGAGTCAACTATTTGTAATTTATAAAAATAATTTTTGCCTGAAAAATTAAAAGGGACCGCATTTACACTGAAAGTTTCAACACACAACCTGCATGTATACTGCCATAATTTTATGGAAATAATATTGGGTAAGTGGATGCATGGCTGCTAAACCTTAATCTGTGTGCTACCAGATTTTCTGTTAATTAGCAGTCAGGTTCAAAATTGCAACACTTTCTATAGATAAGACAGAAGCAACATGATAATTTATAGTTAACATTTTTGCCATTTCTACTAGGAATAATTGGCACCTTCCAATCACAAAATTTGGGTTCATTTATATAATGTTTATGATGCTCACCTGGATAATATTTATCTTTGTGAGATTTTAATTTTTAAAAGATGGGAACAGGAAAAGAAAATTTGTATCAAGTGATGTTTTGAATTGGAAGATACATGGCCTAAATGTATAAATCACTGATGTCATTTCTTTGCTATATCTTTCAGTATTTTGACCATCCTTGAAGGAAAGGGATTGTAGAGATGCTAAGATAATGAAAGGAGAGAAGAAACTGTTTACTGAAACAAAAAATGTATGTTCTCATTAAAAACAAGAGCAAGAGGCATTTAGCAATGGCCTCTGAAGTGCAGTGTGCAGTACATTTCAGTTCAATTTAAGATCTAAATTAACTCTTGATGTTGATTTCTTTTGAATTGCCCAATAGGATTTTCTGGCGTCGGCAGGTTCACTTGATGGCAGGGATCCGGCCCAGCACCATTACCAGCTCCTTTCCCCAGCTTATGTCCAATGTGGATGCAGCTTATGAAGTGGCTGAGAGGGGCACTGCTTACTTCTTTAAAGGTACCCTACAGCAGCAGACCCTAACCTTTTTGGCACCAGGGACCAGTTTTGTGGAAGACAATTTTTCTACAGACGGGGATAGGGGATGGTTTCAGGATGATTCAAGTGCATTACATTCATGCTCACCTCCTGTTGGGTGGCCTGGCTCCTAACAGGCCCAGACTGGTACCAGTCTGTGGCCCGGAGGCTGAGGACCCCTGCCCTACAGATTCCTTAAAGAAAGAAATGGCAGGGTGCAGTGCTCAGTGTGTTTGGAATACCTAGCACCGCCCATGTTTGTTCAGTGATCATGGAACATGTTTTGGTCACTCCTTCTCTTCAGGTGGAGTATGAAATGCCAAGTCATCGTACTGTGACAATGACAGAATAGATGGCAATCTGTTCTCAGAGCCAAGCCTTTACCCTAGTGAGGCTCTATGCTTTGGCACAGTGCCCAGGGAGCTAGAAACTGGATTCCTGCCCTCATGACCTCTGCTCGGAGTGGCATAGCATACCCTCCTGAGAGCCTCTAATTAACAAAGGCTAACATAGAACCCAATGTGAGAACAATACCTTTGCTGCTAAGCCATGGTATTGTATTTTACCTTTGTTTATTTGTGGTTGGGAGATGCCTCCAGGGCAAATTTTAACTCTCTTATTAAATTGAATACTTAGAAGCTTATATAGACATGGCAAATATCCCAGAAACTAGCCCCATTTATGATCCTGCATGGAAACACTCATGAATGAGGTACACTACTAAGTGAGAGTTTTTGTAAACTTTAATTTCTGTTTTCAGGCCCCCACTACTGGATAACAAGAGGATTCCAAATGCAAGGTCCTCCTCGGACTATTTATGACTTTGGGTTTCCAAGGTACGTGCAGCGAATAGATGCTGCCGTCTATCTCAAGGATGCACAGAAGACCCTTTTCTTTGTGGGAGATGAATACTACAGGTATGACTTTTCTCTTTTTGATTGTCCAGCTGTATTGAATGGGAAGAAAGAAAACCTTGAGCAAAAATGAATGCAGGGCAAGTTTGCAATAGGCCCGTTGACTTTTCTTGGCCACTGGGGTGCCATTTACTGATGGTTGACACTGTCTTCAAGATATGAAGCCATCCAAATGATAAGTGAAACATTAATTCAATAATACCATTCTTTGGTCTCTAGGACACCAAACATCCTGATCTTTCAGTGCACTCATTAACTGGACCCCCAGTGACCTAAAAGTGTGGATGCAACATCCCCAAATACATAACTACCTACTGGGAATGGCTGAGGGGAGAACTGGTGCCATGTTATGTGAGTACCAACGTACTTCGGAATGCTCTGTGATTTTGTGCAAAATGGACATGACCATGACCTCCCCTCTGGCAGCTGTCAGTCTATTCCACGTTTCCATGCCTCTGGTTCTATTTTGCTTGTTAGTTTACTTTGTTCACTAGATTCCTCCTATGAGCAAGATCATATGGTATTTGTCTTTCACCAACTGGCTTATTTCACTTAACACAATAGTCTCCAGTTCTAACCAAGTTGTCGCAAAAGGTAGGAATTCCTTCTATTTTCTACTGCATAGTATTCCATTGTGTAAATGTATCACAGTTTTTTGATCCACTCATCTACTTATGGGCACTTAGACTGTTTCCAGCACTTGGCTATTGTAAATAACACTGCTATGAACATAGGGCTGCATAACTTCTTTTGATTTGGTGTTTTGGGATTCTTTGGGTATATTCCCAGCAGTGGAATCACTGGGTCAAAAGGCAGTTCCATTTTTAGTTTTTTGAGGAAATTCCATACTGTTTTCCACAGTGGCTATACCAGTCTGCACTCCCACCAACACAAGAGTTCCCTTTTCTCCACATCCTTACCAGCACTTACTGTTTATTGACTTATTACTGATGGGCATTCTGATAGGTGTGAAGTGATAGCTCATTGTGGTTTTAATTTGCATCTCTCTGATGGCTAGTGATGTTGAGCACTTTTCAAAATGTCTATCGGCACTGTGTATGTCCTCCTTGGAGAAGTGTCTATTCAGGTCCCTTGCCCTGTTTTAGATTATATTGTTTATCTTCCTGGTGTTGAGTTGTATGAGTTTTTTATATATTTTGGAGATTAAACACTAGTCTGATGTATCATTGGCAAATATGTTCTCCCATACAGTCAGTTCCCTTTTCATTTTGATGATGGTTTGTTTAGCCATGCAGAAGCTTTTTAATTTCATATAGTTCTATTTGTTTATTTTTTCCTTTATTTCCCTTGCCCTGGGAGATATATCAGCAAAAATATTTTTATGTGGGCTATCTAAAATTTTACTGCCTATGTTTTCCTCTAGGGCTTTTGTGGTATCACAATTTATATTTAAGTCTCTTATCTATTTTGAGTTTATTCTGGTGTATGGTGTAAGTTGGTACTTCATTTTTTTTTTTTGCATGTATCAGTCTAATACTCCCAAGACCATTTATTGAAGAGACTATTTATACTCCATTGTATGCTTGTGCCCCCTTTGTCATATATTAATTGGTCATAGAGACATGGGTTTACTTCTGGTCTCTCTATTCTGCTCCATTGATTTATGTGTCTGTTCTTATGCTAGTACCAGAATATTTTGATTATAGTGGCCTTGTAGTATAATTTGATAGCAGATATTTTGCTCCTTCCAACTTTGGTCTTCTTTCTCAAGATTGTGGAGGCTATTTGGAGTCATTTTTCATTCCCTATAAATTTTTGGAATAATTTGTTCTGGATCTATGAAATATGCCATTGGTATTTTAATAGGAACTGCATTGAATCCATAGATTGCTTTGGGTAGTATAGAGATTTGATAAAATCTAGCACCCATTTATGATAAAAACACTCAGCGAAGTGAGAATAGAGGGAGCATACCTTAACATAATAAAGGCCACACATATGAGAAACCTACTGCCAACTTCATATTCAATGGGCAAAAACTAAAAGCTTTCCCCTTAAGATCAGGAACAAGACAAGGGTGTCTGTTTTCACCACTGTTATTCAACATGGTACTGGAAGTCCTAGCCACAGTGATCAGATAAGAAAAATAAATAAAAGGCATCCAAAATGGAAAGGAAAAAGTAAAACTCTCATTATTTGCAGATGACATGATAGTGAACATAGAAAACCCTATAGTCTCCACCAAAAAACTACTCAACTTAATGAGTGAATTTGGCAAAATAGCAGGATACATCTGAATGATTTCTGAATATTAAACAAGTCAATATTCAGAAATCAATTGCATTCTTGTGCACCAGCAATGAACTATCAGTAAGAGAAGGCAGGAAAAAAATCCCATTTACTATAGCAACAAGAAAAATAGAGTAGCTAGGAAGAAAGTTAACCAAGGAGGTAAAAGATCAGTACTCAGAAAACTACAGAACACTGAAGAAAGAAATTCAGGAAGATGCAAATAAATTGAAGCATATACTATGTTCATGGATTGGAAGAATTAACATCATTAAAATATATCACCTACTTTTAATAACCATTTCTGTGGCATAAAAGAAATTTATAAATAAATGTTTCTACCTGACTGATATTATCTTCCCCAATTTGAAGCTGAGTAAGTAATATAACTAGAGCACAGATCTATTTGATGAAAAGGAAAATTTATTTTATAAAAATGAATGCCAAAAAAATGTGGACCCTGCTGACTCTTTTGAGTCACCAAGAGCACTGGTAGCATGGCTCAAAGTATCATGCGTATCATGAGTTGCCACTTTCAGTCCAATGTTTAAACCACTAAGCCAGCTACTTTCCTTTCACACCTTCTTTTCTGAAATTGATAGTAATTCATTTATTAAGCCCCTAATAAAGCAAATACTCCAAAGTCTTTCTTTAAGATAAGGTGACTGTAATCATAATGCTAACATACAAGAAAATAGTTACTAAGAAACTCAATTCCCATTGTGGATTTTTAGAGAATGAGACTTAAAAATACATGTATGAGCATGTGTGTGGGAATGTGAGGGCATTTATGTTATGATTATTCAGTTAATTTGTCAAAGCTTATTCATGGCCTGATGTTTATCAGGGGGGATTATCCATTCTCCCATTATATCTCTTCTCCATTAATCACCTGGTCTTTGGAGTAATCTACCAACCACCAGAATCCACAGTAAAGCATGCACCTCCAGCTAGGCAGGATTGAGGCTTACCAGCCAACACAAGAGCTTGATGAAACATTTAAAATTCTTGTAAATTTAAGGCTGAGAAGAGAGAGGGTCTCTGGTTTTAATGATGGCTGATTCCCCGCAATGAAACCATACTGAACATTTCCAACTGGGTCTCTGCAAGTGTCTATTAGGTAAAAATCTTTAGTAATACAGATAAAACAAATTCATTAAAAAGTCAAGTTATGAAATTAACTCAAATGTTAAAGAGCTTATTTTGATGTAAAGGAAGGAAACAGGAGTAGACACTTTAACATAACTTTCCTAGATTATTGAGTGTATGAAAGGATATAATGCATACAGACACCAAGCACAGTGCCGGGCACATAGTAGGTGCTCCAACTGTTCAGTAATAGTAGGAACCGATATGGTAATTACAAATAATTGCTTTAAAAGTTGTGATAATTAGCCAATAATTGTTTAAACCTCAGTATTTCTCTGAGAGTCAATGCAGTCAAAGAATTTGTCAAAGGGAGTTTTCCTTTTAAAGAATGAAGGGCCGCAGTATTGTACTGAAATTACTACTTCTGGCAAAGCCTAGGTAACCTTTTCAACAAGGAGGATCTTCTATTTTTCACACTCCAGCACACACACTGGTTTATGCACTAAGAAATAAGAAAAACACCTCTCACTTACAGCTTAAAAGTTCAGAAAAAGCTGTTGTATCAGCTCTGTTAATACCCCCCGCCTGAATTTCACACATTGTGTTTAGCAGGGCCTCACATGTATGACATTGTATTGTCATGAAAAGCCCTGTATCACTTAGAAATTTGATTTGGCTACTCGTAACAAAGACCCCAAAATGCTGTGGCTTAAACATATAAAGGGTTTGTTCTCCTCATACATGTAACATGTCTGAAGCTTAACAGATTTAGGGCTGGTAAAGTGGGCCATGATCATTAGGAGCCCAAGTCTTTTTTAACATTTTATTCTGCTCTTCTTAACTCATGGCTTGCACTCTCATGGTTGCCATGAGATTCAAAGTGGCAGTAGAGCTTCGGTCATTACATCTCTGTTCTAAGCAGGAAGAAGGAGGAAAAGGCAAAGGGGACAAATGAGGTTCAAGGTAAAGCACATGGCCACACTCAAAAATACTGAAGGCCACAGCCTCAAGTTGTAGACCAAGAATCTACTGTATCAACATCCACTAACAGTGAGTTAGGACTTATTTCCCATAGCCATTCTTTAGGTTCTTCTTTGGTCCTCATACTAGTCCAGTCTATGACACAAATAATGTGCCAAGGGAAGAAAAGTCTCTGGATATGCTTGTTGTCAGGGAAATTCTCCATGAACTTCTAGTGCTTGGGACCAGTTTCAGTGAATGAAGTGCCATGTGGAAGCTATTGAGGAACCTCCTCCACTAAGGACTGAGGTTGGCTTGGGGCCAGGTTGGTTTAGACTCTAAGAGTGAGAACCCACATACCAACATACTAGTAATTTACAAGAGAGAATCCTGCAGAAAACTACAAAGTGAAATACAAAAGGGGACTCCACCATGCTGATACTGCTACATGCTACATCATGCAATGACATAATGGTTAAACTTTACCAACTATGGCTACTTCCTCACAAGTTCATTTACTTTTATTCCTTCCTTTTCTCTTTCTAACAAGCCCCAATTACCTAGCCTATTTTTTGTCTTTTCATTATTTCCACACCTATGGCTAATTTCTCCTGTAGATGTTCCCCTCGGCCTGCCAATAGCAGAGCAGAGGCCACACCAAGGAGTTTCTGGGGGTGTATCCACTCCATGATTCTTTGAGATAG